CTGTGGAGCAGAAGGCCCAGGAGATCCTGCAGCTGGAGCAGCTGGGGGCTGCTGGGGCTGGGGCAGGAGCATGGCAGGGCTGGGTCAAGTCTGGTCTCCATCCAAGATCACTGTCAGTGTGATGGCCTCTGGTGAATCTGGGCAATATGTACAACAAGGTGACCCTGGGACAGCTGCAGACAATCCATCCCCACCTGAGTGTGGCCCGGACCTTGTGTGCAGGCAGGTGTAGGGGCTGAATCTGGGACCCTGTGATCGCCCTCCCCAGGGATGGATGAGGCTTTCTATAGAGCTGGACTCCTGGTCTTCCTGTCACCATCCCTGCCCCTTGTCCTCTGTGGTCCCCACCCTGTGCCCCCAGCTGCGGTGGAAGTGGCTGCTGGACCAGATCTTCCAGGAGGACTTCTCAGAGGACGAGGAGGTGGTGCTGCTGGCCACAGACTACATGCAGCAGGTGTCCCAGCTCATCCGCTCCACGCCACACAGGTGGGGCTGCACATCCCCCACGCCTGCACCCCATGTCCCCCAGCCTCCCCCCTGCCTGCTGCCCCGACCCTGGATCCACCTGCGCCTGCGCCTGTGTGCAGGAGCCCTGTGGGGAGGCGGTGGGGAGCCTGGAGCAGGAGTGCAGTCCTGGGTTCTGGTGCTGGAGCTCCCCCTGCCTGTGGAGCAGGGCAGGCTGTGGCTTGCTGAGCCGCAGTCCTCACTGGGGATGCAGGGGCTGGCTGACAGGGTGGCTTCTCTGAGGGACGGTGTGGCCGCAGTTCTGCTGGCCCAGGGCCAGCTTCCTGGCCTCTGCCCACCTTGGGGAGGAGCAGGGGCCGATCAAAGCCAGCCCTGAGGCAGGCAGAGAGCCCTGAGTGTCCCCTGTCCCACCCCATAGCAAGTCAGGAAAGGGTGCTGGCTGTGACCCCTCAGGGTCAGGGCTGGTCAGTAGCAGGACTGTGTCCTGTTGTGCGAGTGGGGCTCAGGACACTTCAGGCTGCTCACCAGGACTGACCTGACAGCCCTTCTCTGAGGGCAGTGTGGGGACCTGGTCCAGCCTGTGTGGGGGCCCTGATGCGACAGGTGGTTCTCTGGGGTGGCCCCCATGCCTGTGCGTCTGGACAACCCCCTGTTCCACCTTCCCCCAGGATTCTGCACAACTACCTGGTGTGGCGTGTGGTCATGGTCCTGATTGAGCACCTGTCCCCACCTGCATGAGCTGGCTCAAGAGATGGTGGGCAGTGACAAGTCCCAGGAGCCGGCCTACGGGCCTGGACCAGGCCAACTGCCACTTTGGCATGGCACTTGGTGCCCTCTTTGTACATGAGCACTTCTCAGCTGCCAGTAATGCCAAAGTCAGGCTGCCTTGGGTTCATGATGGGCATCCAGGTGGTACATGGGATGCCTTCCATGTCTCCCTGTAGCTGGGGACCCAGGCTGAGCTTAGGCCTCAGTGCCGGCTCCCTAGACTGATTTGCACTACACTCCTCCCTGAAGTCACTCAGGTGCTGTCCCCACCAGTGATCTCTTTGCCCACCATTTTCACCCATGCTCAGATTCTTGAGCCTTGGGAACAGACTGTGTCTCTGCTTGGACTGTTTCCCTGTGTGTAGAGGGAGCAGGGTGAGGGGTGTGGTGCTCCAAGGCCTTGCTCTCCATCTCAACCACCCTTCCACCTGCAGGCTGGGCCCCACTCATGGCTTATCTTTCTGAAAATAGCTGGCACTGTGTTGTATAACCGTTTATTGCTTTGTCCCTCCCAGGGGAATGGAGGCCCCAGGAGGGCAGAAAAATCTTAGTTCAGAGATCTATACTCAGCTTCCAGATGTCCAGGTAAAGGGTCCAAGGGCCACTCTGGTGGCCTGTCCCACTCCTCCAGCCTAGAGTTGGCTCTGGGGAGGGGTGAACATGTAGCTGCTGGTTACACAGGACTGCCCCTGTATGCAGTGACAGGGCAAGCCCCATCTGCAGTTTGCTTGGGTGTGGAGGTGGATCAGCGAGATGCAGGGTCTCCTGGTTCCAGGACATGCCTGAGTCTTTGGCATCCCACTGGTGGAATCTGAGGCCAGCAAAGGCACCCGTGGGTCTGGTGGAGTCCTGATCCCGTGGAGGGTGCCTGGTGCCTAACTTGGTCCTTCTCAAGTATAGGCACAGGAGGGACTGGGTGGCTGAGCTTGCTGTTTTCCTAGGATTTGAGGTTGGAGTTCAAGAGCAACCCAGGGATGGCAGTGGATGTCATTGTCTCAGCCTTGGGGGTACCACAGTGTCCTGACCATGGAGGGTCCAGGGCTGGGATGGGCAGTGCTGCCTGGTCTGAGTCTGCCTTATCCCTCTGTCTCTTGGTAAGAGCCAAAGGTGGGGGCATCAGGATAGGCAGCCCAGTTTTGGACTGGTAGTGGGGGTGCGGTTGGTGGGAGATGCCAGCTGCAGGGTTTCTGGGTGGGTCTCAGAGGGCCTGGGTGTCAGGGCGTAATCCTCAGCAACAGCAGCAACCAAAAGGGCAGCAACACTATGGTGGCGACAGGGCGGTGACCCACAGCACTGCTCTGGCCTGCTGGGGGCTCCAGGCCGCAGGCCTCATAGGGCTCCAGGCAGGCGGCGAAGGCCATGACGTGCGCGATGTAGTTCTGCTCCTGCACCCCGTGCACCAGGTGCGCCTGCGGGCCCCGTGCAAACACCGCCACGTCCTCGCCTCCGTGAGTCTCCTCTGACAGGGGCACAGCCGCCTGCTGCTTGTAGGTGTAGGCGCCTGGCGGGAAGAGGAGTTCAGGTTGGGAGAGTCCCCCTCCACCCCTGTCCCCAAGAAGACGACCTTTCAATGGCCGCACTCACCGCTTTCAACCTCCGTGACGTTGGGTCGGTCGCCAGAGTTCAGCACGTAGCCGGGGCCATTGCCATACAGGATGGACGTGTAAGACTTGCCGTCCTGGGCCTTGAGCGGGGCCAGCCCTGCGGGGACAGGTGGCACCTGAGCTCGCATCGCCCTCCCCGGGGACCCCCGTGTGCCGCACAGGCGCCTTTCGCCTTGTCACCAGCTTACTCCTCCCAAGAACCCTGCGAGGCAGGCGCCCTCAGTGCGCCCGGTTGACAGATGAGATGCGACCCCCGCCTCAGCACCGCAGCAACAGCCCCTGTCGCGGTCCCCGCCTACCGAAGATGGAGCTGCCCCGCAGCGTGTAGCCGCCAAAGGAGAAGACGTGGGAGTGGTCGGCGGTGACAAGGGTCAGCGTGTCCTGGTCGCTGGTGAGCTGGCCGGCCTTGTCGATGGCAGAGTCGAACATGACCGCCTCCGTCAGAGCCAGGAAAGCGGTTCCCGCGTGGTGCCCGTGGTCGATGCGGCCCCCTGCAGGAGCCAGTGGGAGGGGCGTGAAGCTCGGCCCCGCCCCGCCCTGCCCCGCCCTCCCTGCTGCCCACGTGCCTCGCCCACCTTCCACGAAGAGGTAGAAGCCGCGGGGGTTCCTGCTCAGCAGGCCCAGGGCCACCTCTGTCATCTCCACCAGGGAGGGGTCCTGCGCTGGCTCCCGGTAGATTTCATAATTTAAGTGTTCAGGTTCGAAGAGGCCTGGGGGACAAGGGACCCAGTGATGAGGGGCTGGCTGGGGAGGGGAGGGTGATGGCCACAGGCACACAAGCTCCAGTGGGGCCACCTGAGGGGTGCCAGGTCAGGAAGTGGGGGTCATTACCCATGAGGTGCGTCACTGCTGGGTCCTGGGACACCTGAATGAGCTGCTTGCGGTTCCACACATACCGAGCCCCCTGGAGGGACAGAGCCCACACTCAGCCCACATCCCTAGACCTGCGGCCCTGCCCTGGTCCCGGCCCTGTGAGCCCCATCACCTGGTGCTTTGCCAGCCATTCCTGCACCAGGTCGCGTCCATCCAGCCTGGTTCCATTCTGGGTGGTGTCACTTGGGTACTCGGGGTCTGGGGTGCCCTTGGGAAACATGAACTTTCTGCCCCCGCCGAGGATCACCTGTAGTCAGAGACCCAGGACAGGTGGCCTTGGGGCCTGAGGGGCCTCCAGCCCCCTGGTCACAGACAGCCCCCTGCTGCCCATCAGGTTGTGGGAAGGACTGTTCTGGGAACTCCATTGAACCCCAAGAGGCCAGGGCAGGCCACAGGGTTCAGATGGTTGGAGGCGTGGGACTCCAGCCAGTTTTCAGGCCTGCCCTTTGGTCACACCACTCCCCTTTGCCCTTTGTGCTCACGTCAATGTCCATATTGGAGACGAGCTGCGTGGCGATGTCCTGGCAGCCCTCCTGCAGCGCTGAGGCTGGCATGTCTGCATCTGAGTACCAGTTTCGGTTCACCGTGTGTGCATATGTGCCAGCTGGCGAGGCATGCTGCACTGTGGTGGTGGTCACCACTCCCACGGACTTCCCTGGAGATGGCAGAGGTCAGGGTGGGCCACACAAGCCTTCTGGCCTACCCTGGTTCTCACTGGCAGCCCCATACCTACCTGCTTGCTTGGCCCAGTACATCACAGACATGACCTCATTGCCTCTTGTTGTGTTGCACTGGTCAAAGCGGGCAGCTGCGCTCAAACCAATGGTCTTGTAGTTGGCCTTGACCCCACACAGGAAGGCTGTGGCAGTGCCAGCGCTGTCTGGCACCTGTCTGTCCACGTTGTATGTCTGGGGACAGAGACACTCTCCTCTGTGTAACCTTACTCCTTGGCCTAGGCCTGGGGTGGTCCTCACTGCCCTGGACCCCAAACTAGGCCCCATCTCTCCTGGGTCCTTCCCCTGCCACAGCCCCCCAGCCCCTGCTCAGAGTCCTCACCTTGGATAGAGCCATATATGGGAAGTGGTCCATGGCCAGGGGTGTCTCGGGCCCCAGCTTGCGGTGCCTCTGTCCCTTTAAGATCCGGGTGGCTGTCACTGTGGGCACGCCCATCCCTGAAGGAGCAGATCCCCATCAGACCTGATCCCTAGGGCTGGTCTGGACCCAGCAGTGGCCCTGGGCTCAAGGCCCGTGAGCACCACGGGGTGGACCAGCATGGCGCACTCACCGTCCCCCAGGAAGATGATGAGGTTCTTGGCTGAGGTCTGAATGGGCTTCAGCTTCTTGGCGGCGTCCAGGGCCTCGGCGGCTTTCAGGTTCCAGAAGGCTGGATTCTCCTCCTCCACTGGCCAAGGGGAGAGTGCAGCTAGGTCAGCCTGGGGGCTGGCCTGTGGGGCAGGGAGAGGGGCTGGGGGAACCTCGTACCTGGGATGACACCATGGGCCAGCTGTATCCTCAGGCCCAGCAGCAGCAGCAGCACCGGGGCTCCCTGCATGTCTGCGGGTTGTAGTCGGTGGTAGGCTGGGACACCTAGGTACCAGCTACAGAGCAGGCTGTCTGTGTAGAAGTCAGAAGACAATTTGCCCTTTTAAAGCCTTCTTGTCTCTCTCCCACCCTAATCTCCTGCCCCTGTGCTGTGAAAGGCAAACCTGGATAGTGTCAGGGTGTGGCTGAGCTGGCCTGGGGCAGGAGCTGACAGGCAGCTCTCATTTTGGGCCCCAGGTGTCTCTTCCTTGTAGGGTGGGAGTGGAGGCCGCTTCCCTCTGGGCAAGGAGCTTGGCTTTTGGCCTGGACTACCACCCCTCTGCCCATGCTGCCCTGTGGGACTCAGCACTCCTTTGTCCCTGAGACCCAGCTGGGCCAGGCCTGTTCTGGGTGCTGAAGGGGGGCAGGGCTGGGGGCAGATCACCTGGGCCACAGGCCTGGCTTTGGCTTCCTGATGCCACCAGCCCCATAGACACAATAAATGATGCTGGAAGGGTGGCCTGGCTCCCTGGCCACTGCATCGTGTCTTTGCATGTTTGACTGGGCAGGTGGGCCTTCAGGAAATTGTTCCCAGGGTGACTATGTGTGCGCATGGGTGGGGTTGGTGGAACCTCATTCCTGGGCCTTGCCATTATGGCTTTGGGTCAGCAGGTGTGTTTGCTTGGGTGTCCACACCTTTGCTTGGGGCAGCAGGTGGGTATGGGGTCAATCCACAGGCCAACCAGGCATGGGCTAATCTTCTGAACAGTGGGCAGGCTCCTGCCCTTGAAGTTGACCCCAGTTTCCCTTGGACAGGTAGAAGGGTCCCTGAGGTGAGTCTGTTTTCAGAGGCCCTAGGCACACCCAGAGATGTAGCCTCGGATGAGGACCTAGGAGGTTTCTGAAGCCTCAAGCTGGGTTCAAAAGAATTTCTCAATCCAGCAATCCCACTTTTGCATGTATGTGTGAAGGAATTAGAAGCAGGGACTCAGATTTCTGTACACCAGGTTCAGAGTAGCATGGTCCCCAGTAGCCAAGAAGCAGGTCTCATTACTGAATGAATGTAGAAGCCAAATGTGGGCCAAGCCCTTCATGGAATATCATTCAGCCTCAAAAAATGAAGGAGGGCTGGGGCCGTAGCTCAGTGGCAGAGCGCTTCCTTGCACATGTGAGGCACTGGGTTCGATCCTCAGCACCACATAACAACTAAAAATTTTTAAAAATAAAGAAACAAAACTATTTTTAAAAACGAAGGAAAGCCTGCAGCAGGCTGGGAGGGGGAACCCGAGGACTGTACCCCTGGTGAAGTGCCAGCCTCAAAGTTTGCACTCAGACGGGGTTCCCAGTGGAGTGAGATTCCTGGAGACAAGGGGAACTGGGGTAGCTTAATGGGGACAGGCCTCAGCTTCCAAGACTAGAAAGTTCTGAGGAGTTACCCAACCCCGGGAATGCACCTCACAGTACTGAACTTAAAAATGGAGAAGTTTTTTTTTTTTTTCTGGGCTTGTAACAGGGGTTCACTTGATGCTTTGACTATATCCCTCGTGTCCTTGAAACTTACATGATTTTTTTTCTTTTTTCCATTCCTCTTTTCCCTAAGCTTCTCTTCTCCTTTCTGATCTCTCCTCCCTAATCTCATTTTTTCTGAATCACCTCTGCAAAAACCCCTGTTCCTGTGGCTAGACAGAATCACAGCCTTTGGGACAGGAGTCCCCTGTGTCTCTCCTTTGCTAGCAAAGCAATGAACCTTCTTTTTGCTTTTTCTCAAAACCTTGTCTTCGTTATTGGATTGGCCTCAAGGACTGAGCTTTTGGTAACAGGCTGGGAATCCACCCCAGGGCCTGTGGCAATGCTAGGTGAGTGTTCTGTGTTGAGCTTCATTCCAGCCTCTAAGGTGCTAAATTTCATGTTCTGTGTTTTTACCACAGTTTAAAATGTTTCCAAAGGAAAAAAATCCATCCTCTCGCTCTGTGTAATGCACCTGCCTGCAGCGGCCTCCTTCCTCCTCCCATCAGGCCTCACCACCTGAGCCACAGGCCTGCCTCACTGGCTGTCCCCTCTGCCCCCACATGCCCTCTGCCTCCTGTGAACCAGTTTTCCAAGAAGCTGCATCTCCATTAAATGACTGCAGGCTGCTTGTCCATGGCTGGGCCACGTGACCCTGAAAGGTGGCCTGTTGGAGGGCGAAGCAGAGATTATCTTGGGCATTCTTCAGCCTTTGAATATCTGTTTACCTTAATTTTGTATTGTTTTTGTTTTGGAGACTGAATGAAATGGTGCTATACCACTGACCTACATCCCTAGTCCTTTTTTTTTTTTTTGGACAGGGTCTCATGAAGCTGCCCAGTCTGGCCTCGAGCCTGCAGTCCTGCCTCAGCCTCCTGAGTTGCTGAGATTACAGGCCTGTGCCAACCGCGGCGCCTGGCCTAACATTCTCATAAGCATCCCAAGTGCATTGGAATGGATCCCTAAGCTGACGGAGCTCCAGCCTTCCCCAGCCCTAACACTAAGATGCCATAATGCCCTTCACCTGTAACAGGGGTCCACTTTATGCTTTAAATGTAGCCCTTGCTGCTCTGTCACTTGCTCCTCCCTAATCTCTCCCCCTCCCCATTCTCATGGGGAAACAGGATTACCTTTCTTTCCCATCCTAGGCACAGATTTATCTGTCCTGAGTACACACCCACCATAGGAAAGAAAGAATCCAGAGTTTGGGGATGGTATCAGAAGATCTCAGAAAGGACTATCTCCCAAATTACCAAGTGAATTACTCCAACAGAGAACACAAGGAATGCTGTAAGCCTCTTTAAATGCCCCCTGTTCCTGCTCATGGGGAGAGCCACAGTCTCTGGGACAGGACCCTGTGTTTCTCCTTTGCTAGCAAAGTAGTACACCTTCTTTTTCCTTCTTATCAAAATCATGTCCTTGATATTGGATTGGCAACAGGGACAAGGACCAACTTTCAGCAATAAACCTAGAGAAGAGATTCCCCATCTACCTGATATTCCTATCAAAGTACTTGGTAAATGTTTTTAATTATGACTTTCTTTTTTTTCCTGTGGCCTTAATGAGAAACTGATGTGACTCCATTTTTGAAAAACCAGCCTGTACCTCAGAGTAGGGCCTGTGGGTGAGGGGGATCCTTATCCTAGGAAAACTGTTCCTAGGCGCATAAGCTACCCCATGAGTCATTTGTCTGTACCAGATGTCCTTGACTCAGCAAATGCAAGTTCCTGAAAAGACCAAAAAAATGACTGAGGCCTAATTCGGACCATAGCAACAACCAATCGGAGTGAGTCAGGGAAGACACAGGAAATACCAGGCGACCCTCCCAGTGGTTTTAGGCCACCCTGCAGTTTAGCATCTACACTCTTGCAACCCCTAGCGGCCTAAACCAATCCACCACTTGAACTAACCAATCATGCTTACCCGACTTGTTCCCGTCAATGTGCTAATCACTGTTAAGAGTTGTTTGATTTTCCCCGTGGTGTGAAATGGTTACCTGTGTGATGTTGTGACCCATAGAGTATCGCCACAAAAACTATAAATCCTCACTGAATTAAGGGTCAGGACTTATTCCTCTGGACTGCGGCATTTTTGAAAAAAAAAAAAAAATAAAAAAAAAAAATAAAAACACATTGCTAGAATGTTATGCCACACTTACAAACTTATTAAAAAATTATAATCTAGAGATAGCAATAGATAAAGTACAATTAAATTTTCCAATTAATTATTTAGGAGTTCTATTATCCTCAACCATGGTCCGTCCACCAAAAATTCAAATACGAGTAGATCAACTCAAATCACTTAATGACTTTCAAAAGTTATTAGGAGACATAAATTGGATAAGGCCTTATTTAGGTATACCAACAGGAGAGTTGGGACCTTTATTTGATATCCTAAAAGGTCCATCAGATCCAAATTCACCCCGAATGTTAACGCCTGAAGCAAGAAAGGCATTAAAAATCATTGAAACATATATGGAAAATATGCATTTGGATAGAATTGATATAAGTTTGCCTTTATTATTTATTGTACTACCAACAAAAAATATTCCTACAGGAGTATTTTGGCAAGAAGGTCCATTATTATGGATACATTTATCTTATTCTCCTAACACTATTCTTACTAGGTATCCTGAGGCTGTAGGACAATTAATACTCAAAGGAATAAAAGCAGCAAAGGGAGTGTTTGGAATTTCTCCCAATAAAATTATTACTCCATATACTATGAATCAAATTGATGAGTTAGCTAATGAGTTAAATACTTGGGCAATAATCATGTGCAAATCTAATGTTTCATTTGATAACCACTTACCATCTAATCCTTTATTGTCTTTTTGGTCATTGCATCCTGTAATTTTTCCAAAAATGACAAGAAAAACACCTATCATGAATGCTCCAAATATATTCACTGATGGGTCAAATAATGGTACAGCAGCAGTCGTTACCCCTGATCAAACTTTTACATTTTTAGTACCCAAACAATCAGCTCAAAAGGTAGAGCTTAATGCAGTTTTACAAGCTTTTGTGATGTTTAAAGATTCTGTATTTAATTTATTTTCTGATAGTCAGTATGTAGTTAATGCTATAGTATCTCTTGAAGATGCTGGTAGGATTTCCCCTTCTTCTACTGTTTTCTCTTTGCTTTCCACTATACAAAGTCTAATCTGGGACAGAAAAGATCCATTCTTTATAGGACATATCAGGGCACATACAGGATTGCCTGGAGCCCTTAGTTTGGGCAATGATTTAGCAGATAAAACTACACATGACATACATATTTTCTCTACACTAGAAGAAGCTATAAATTTTCATAAAAAGTTCCATGTCAATGCTAATACTTTACAAAAGCACTTTAAAATAACTAAGGAACAAGCTAGACAAATAATAAAACAATGTCAAAATTGTGTGACCTTTTTACCACAAGTTAATCTTGGAGTCAATCCTAGAGGATTGATACCTAACCATATTTGGCAGATGGACGTCACACACTTGCCAGAATTTGGAAAATTAAAATATTTGCATGTTACAGTTGATACTTCTTCTGGATTTTTGATGGGCTCCCTTCATGCCGGAGAAAAAACTATTTTTTGACTATAGAGTTTTTAAACATTGCAATGGAGATTTCACCTGTAAAAAGTTATAAGGCCTTTACTATAATGTTATGTGTTGTATGTATTATATTATGTGTGCACACTTGTGTTTTGTGTTATATGTTTGAATGTACGTATGTCCATATATCATATATGATGAGCGCTCATGATAAAATGGATCCAAATATTTTTTTTTTCACGTGATTTATATGGTTTAATTTAAATTGGGTAAACAACTGTTGAGGATTGTTTTAATATGTAAACAAAAAAGAAGGTTAACAGATCTGTTTGTTTACTTTCACCTTTCCTTTTCATTATATTTAATAATTCTCTTAAAGACAATGTAAATTGTTAAGAAAATTGTTTTCTTTTAGTGCCTTCTGTAATGTTACATAATTTTTTCTTTAGCCATTATTGCCAGAATTCCTATCTTCATCCCAGTGCCGGTGAAGACAATGTAAATTGTTAAGAAAATTGTTTTCTTTTAGTGCCTTCTGAAATGTTACATAATTTTTTCTTTAGCCATTATTGCCAGAATTCCTATCTTCATCCCAGTGCTGGTGAAGTCAAAGATAAAACCAATCTACAGCTTCTACAATAGCCATCACTGAACTGCTTGCAGAACTTGCCTGGACACATTGTGAGCTCACCTGTATGCATTGTGAACTATCTGTTGGTGCAGCGACTTATGGTAGTGTTGGGGTATTTTTGCTGATGATGTCACCGGTGGTACAATTTTTCAAAGGAGCCCTCAATTGGCTTAATGTCATGGCATTTTGCATCCTCCTCTACTAGTGATGGTCTAAAATTTGGGGGCCAACAGAGGTGAGGCAAAGAACCTCACCCCCCCACAGGTGCAAAGGCCTATCCACAAGTATGGCTGTATGCTGGACCGGTAGTCAGTGACGGGTATGATCCAATTGCAGTGGTACCAACCTAAGACAGGAGGCTGACGCCTAGAGGTCAGTTCATCCGATGACGGGTAAGGACCATATGTTGAATTGGACTGCCTAACAGGCACGGTCCCTAAGCCACATGCTTGTTGTTTAAACAGAGAGGGGGAGATGTTGAGAGCCACAGCCAGCTGTGGCCCCAGCAAACTTCCAGCTGCCAGCAAACTTCCAGCTGCCGGCTGATGATTGGCTCACAGCAGCCCCAGCAACATCTAGCTGATTGGCTCCTCGGCCCCAGCAACATCTAGCTGATTGGCTCCTCTGCGGTGATGCTCATTGGACTGTTTCCCTGCCCTTTCAGACCACGGAGCTGCTCATTGGGGGACTTTTTTGGCTCCGCCCACGTGACCCAGCCAATCGGCCTCAAGAGCAGGAGGATTGTGGGAGGTGGGGAGAAGCTTGTGTGGGAGAGAGAGGCTTGGGGAAAGCCGGTGGTGGCAGTTGAGGCTCTGAGGGTTTTTCCTGAGAGACTATTTTGTTTGTCGTGTGTGGTTCTAAAAATAAAGTTAGTTTCTTTTGACAAGTGGCTCCTGATTGTGCCCAGCTAGACTGCGGCATTTTTGTGAGTCCAGGTTCGAGAGCTTGCAATAAAGACTCTGTGATTGCATCGGATTCGGCTCCTGGAGGTCTACTGGGGTCCCACGAATCTGGCATTACACTAAGAGTTCATGAACTTCTTCCACATAGCTGTCATGGATAACTTGAGTCCATTTTCTGGGCCCCTGGTTGCTCATTTGTTTCAGAATAATTTATTTTCTTATTCTTCAAAGTGGAATCATTATTTCAGGCCAACATGCCCTCAGGCAGAGTCTCCCTGGGTCCTCCCATCATGACTCCTCCTCTTTTTTGGCTGCTCTCTGATGGTGGGAGAAAGAAAGTCCCCTCTCTCAGGCTCCCTGCCTCCTGCCATCATTGTTTATGAAAAACCAGCCTCTATCTCAGAGCAAAGCCTGTCCAAGGAAGGGACATCACCTTTGTCCTTGAAAAGACCCACAGAGCACTCCTAGGCACATTCCCACCCTGATAAGTTGTTTATCTACAAATAACAGGAGAGATCTGCTGCACCAGGTGTCCCTGACTCAGTCAGGCTAGGTGGAGACCCATAGTAACCCCCTAGCAGCCACCAATCAGCATGAGACAGGGAAATACCTGGGATGCCAGATGACCCTCCCAGTAGTTTATGGTGGTTGATAACGTGTTGGGAAACCATGTAGTTCAGCACGTACACCCCTCTTGTCTTAAACCAATC